AATGCAACCCCCTCTTTGCCCAAAAAGGAAAGCATCTGAAACAACCACCCCCAAAAGATGGTATTTTGAACCTTCTGATTAATAGAAATCAATCTAAAAATTTTATATAGCTAAAGTATATTACACCTTATGACACAGTGGACACCCACTTGCACATGATTATTAGTACAACAAATGCATTTTAAGCCTTACAGGGTATATGAAATATATGAACAGAGCTGTATGATGCCCTGAAGAATTTGAGGACACTAAAACATGCCAGAGGGACGCCTAGATGGTAAGAAATTCCAATGCTGATTTCACTGCTGATAAAAGCCAGGTACTAAGAACTTGTTTCACACACGTGTTCAGATCACCTGATACCAGTTATCAGTACTCCTTATCTGACCACTTGCCAAGGCACTAAGTGATGAGTCGCATCCACATACAGCAATTACAGCACTGCTGCCCTGTAATAGCAACACTCGTGGATCCATTTCGTATCTTCTTTATCAAAGTCTCTAGGTGCTCAAGTGGCAGATCCATTGCTCTCAGCACTAACTGAATAGCCAGAGATGCCCCTGGATGATGATCAAGATAACCAGACTTACCAAAGCCATTTTACCTTTTTTTCTCCCTCTCAATTTGCCCAATGTCACAAGGAGCATCAAGGCTAAAACCAAATTCCCCAACTTGATCAACAAGGCTGTGCCAACTCCTCACTTTCAAGCTTGGGATTTAAACTTTGCAATATGAAATACTGGCAATTTTTGAAGCGTCTTAAATAAGATATTTTCTAGCAATGATTTCTAATACCCTGCAGCTTTCTCTTGATGCCACAATTCTGATCTTCTCATCTAGGATATCTATTAAAACTGCTAAACGACAAAAATGCAGCACCAGCACAGTCTGCTAATGAAAGTCTGGCATACTAGCAACTACTACTTATTTATCACAAAAGAGATGAACTGCTTAAATCTGGGAAGTTAGCAAAGATTAGTCAGTGTGCAAAAACAGAACTGCTTTCGCCTCCCCCCAAAAAAGGATTAGTCTTTCCCCATCATCATCCACTTGAATGTGGAAAAGGTTTAGGCCTCTTCTTTAACATATTCCAACCTCAAATGAAGTTTTAGTGGAGGGGATTTTTAGTGAAACCTTCTGCTATTTGATAATTGGAGCAAGAAAAAATTATAGCAAGAGCTTTGGATGATAAAAGGGAATGTAATAGGAGATAGTAACAAACCCACAGGCTGATGCCAGCACTAACCTGATTAACACTCAAGCTGGACACATAAGCAGTGGTCTCAAAGCTGAGATAAGTCTCTCCTAATACAGATGAAAATTAAAGTTTGGATGCTACCAACCTAACAGTGAAAAAGTGGCATCAGTTTAGAACACAGATCTGAGATACTAAAGGGACATCTGAAATAACCGATTTACTTTATGCTAGTGTGAAAGGCGTAATTATTTCTATGTGCAGTAACCAATCACCTAGTAAATCTATATTGTGTATGAAGTAGCTTTGTTGAAACTGCTTGCAAAATAAAGGCTAATGAGTAGAAATGAAGCCTTGCATTACTGCTTGTTCTCAACTAATTCTGGACACCTAACAAACATTTATTCTAATGTCTTAAAATTATTTTAATAGTATTTTACTCCAAATAATAAATAATATTTCTTGGAATTATGCATTTTCTTACATGATAGGCAAAAGACCAACATTTCATAAAAATAACAGCAGCAGCATATATTATGCTGGCGTATTACTGATTTTCACAACCCACACTGTTGAAACATTATATTTATCAGGGCACATCAAGTTTGATTATAAATCCCAAAGACTATTAAAAAGAACCTTCCCTCCATCAACACTGCAGGCAGAGACACTTCTAATTGATTTTTTTCTAAAATCAAATTTTACAGGACACATTTCCAATAGGCAGCTTTGGCAAGCTAATGCTATGGATCCATTCTGTAAAATTACCTGCTAGATAAAGCAGTAAAACTCTCAGCACCCTTATAAGAGTTCAGATTCTACACTGCAGTGACTAGAGTAGGCTGACTTCAGCAGAATCCAGTGTTAAAGTTGTAAGAAAAATGCATGAAGTTCCTGGAGTTCATCTTGCTTTCTCCTAGCAAGGTAAACAGCTCATTTAAGCCTCCTTATCACTTATTCATAGTCTCTCCTCTAAAGATAAGTCCACATTTTACCATTACCGGAATGCAAGACAGAAAAAGATCTTGTCCAAGTGCTTTATCATCTGTGCCCTAAAGATAATTAAAATAAAGTCCAAAGTTGAACAGTTATTACTCCCTGGTAGTGCAAATGCATATAAATGGCTACTACCAAAAGGAAGTACTTTCTCCTTCCAAGAGCTTTAGAGCTCACCAGAGCTGTGCTGATTGCATGGGGTCTCCAAGGTTTGTGTATTTATGATTTATAACATAGAGCAATGGAAAGGTTGAGACCAGCTGAAGCCTAACAGTAATCCATTGCATGCAACAAGCAGCAGCAGCAAAGTCTCCTATTCAAGACCCTTCAGAAGGTTTTTTCTTCCCCTCAAATCACATCTGTCACAGATGATACTAATGACACAGATGGTACTAATGATAAAAACGATGTACATCAACAGTATCCTTAAAATAATCTATGTTTCCAGCCATTATTTACCACATTTTTCCTTTACTAACTGCAAACATCACAATCTCCCACCACCACTGTCCACAAAAAGGTGGTTTCCATTTTCAGTCCCTGTCACCATCCACACAGCAAAAGAGACCTATCAGTCCCACTCTTTTGGGCTCCCACAGGCAGAGAAACCCCCAGCAGCATCCTCTGCAACTGCTAAATCTTCCTTACAAAAGCACTAATTCCACTAGAGAATCCAGACAGAATACTTGGCATTCAGAAGAAACCTTGTAATGAAGACACTGAAAGGCAAAAATGTTTTTTTTTTAAACCCTAAAAAAAAAAAAGGCCAACCTACTTTTTATAAAATATAGCTTACTGTACAGGCTCTGAATAGGATTGAAAACATGAATATTCTTCCCATTAAGTCAATACATTAGGAAGTATGTCAGGTTATATACATTTCAAAGAAAATTATCAATAAAAAATGGAGGGAAATGAAGAGTTTCTAACACAAGCTCTGCATTGCTGTAGATATTTTTAGGTGAGTGTATTTCAATGACAAGATAACATTTTTCAGGGCACACTGGAGAGAAAAATACAGCTGAACAACAAAAATGATGGTAGTGCCTTCCACTGTCTAGGCTATGAAGAACCATTTCACATAGTCAAAGGAAGAAGTTTCCCTCATGTGGATAAGCGAGGTTGATCTTCTGCAGTTCTCTGAACAGATGTACTGGCCTTGATGTCCCCTTTCAAGTTTATTCTTTTCAAAAATCAAGATACCAAGGTCTCCTGTGGACATATGGTATGTGGACATTACAGACACTATTTTTCTTTCCAAATGTGCTAGGATGTTCTGACCTCAGGTCATTCTGGCAAAAAGTTACCATCTGCTCCTTCCTGTTAAATGATCAAAAAGGAGCATTTCTGGCTCCCCTGCTACATCAAAACACTGAAGGTAGTTAGAATATTGTGCTGCTTGCAGTTAAGTGCAATGTGTCTCATCTGACCTTGAAACTCTGTCCAAAGGAGTAAAGCAGCAACCAAACTAGGGGTCGAAGAATGGGTATATTTTAGTACTGAAACCAGGCCTAGGAATATTTCTGCAGTAGGATTTTCATCAGAGTGCCAAGCTAGCCCCCATATTCACCATCTTTCCATTAATAACCTCAATTTCCCAAATAACCTCAGCGCACAAATACTGCACAGAAAACGAGAAGAAATAATGTTAAGGTAACTTGCAACACTGCAGTGTGTACCCAGGATCTGCAATTACTAAGCGTTGCACAGAACTTCTCAGTGACTCCTAGAAAGTTCATGGTAAGAGAAAGATTCAAAATAAAGCCCAGATGAACTGAAACTAAAAACTAATAGAAACTTTCCCACTTAGCGGTTGACTGCATTCTCCAACACAGCAAATCTTTCAATTGAGATTATAGGCACAGCTTGGTTTTGTACTCAAATAAACTTTCTCAGGAGAAGATGTTGAACAGGTTTTGTCCAAAACTCACACTCAATAGCTTAAGGCAGCAGTCAGCAGCACATCTGCTCAAGCATCACCACCACTCAAAACACACTATGCAAAAACAAGGATTACTTCAAAAGTTTCAGCAAAACAGCACTTTGCTGGGTTTGACCTTTGAAAAGGGTTACAAGCTTGAAATTTACTCAGTTATTTATTAAAAACACATAAAAGCATTAAAAGCACATACCTCTAAGTCCTTCCAATTTCTTTCATTTGCTCCTTTCCTGAGAGTCTCAGTCCCCTCTTTGGGGCAGGAGGGTGAGGGAAAGGGTTGCTAATCCCTAACCTAGTCACTCTTGAACTAAACTCCCATCACAGCACAAGGCCAAGGCCTAAGTGGCTTGAGGATGAAGCACCAACCAAACGTGCTGTAAATGTGCTAAGCAAATTAACAGGAATCTATTCCATTCACATGAGGTGTTGCAGCACCTAAACTTGCCACAGGACGGTACTTTTTTCAGGTAGCAGAGACCCTTTAAAGGCAATTAGAAAAGCTTGTCACTGACAACACCACCAGCATCAGCTGTGGCTGGTTTGCACCTACAAAAAAGACAAATCAAGAAGGACTGAAAAAACTTCCTGGATTATGAGTAAGAACATACAAAGGGTAGAAATGAGAAACCTATGAGGTTAAAACCAAGTTATTTCTTTGTCATTAGCGCTCAGTTGTACCAAACCCCCTTCTTTAGGTCTCCAACAACCTGGCACAAGTTAAAACGCTTTCTTACTAATCGATCACACAAGACCTGCATCAAGAAGCGAAAGAGAAACCAGAAGACTCTCACACGGCAGGATCACTTCAGTAAACAATAATTGCATCCAACTTGGCAGAAATAAACCAAAATACAGAGAGGAACCTCTTACCATGTTCCACAAAGACATTACAGTGCGGGCCCCCATGCCTGGATGATTCCTTCTTCCCTGCTCCTTTGATAAAGTGCAGGGCAGGCAGACTCGGTCTCCTTTGGTCCCCAAGGACTTTTCCAGGCTGCTGCCCCATAAAGCAGCTATGGGCAGCCTTCCCTAGGGCAAGAAGTTTTGGAAGAAGCCTGTGATCCCCGATCTTGCAGGACGGTGCTCGGAAGGATAAGGCGTTTTTGGCAGGTCGCGCTCGCCGAAGCCACTCAAGGCGGGGAGCGGGGACAAGGGCACGGGCTCTTCCAACGCAGTGACAAGGCTCCCGAGGTGGCTTCAGGCAAAACAACAAGTTAAAAGTCCCTCTTAGTAACTATGAGCGTCACCAAAAGTTCTACGTTACCAGGCGTCTTCCACCGGGCGCAGGAGGATCAGTTCCCCGTCCAGGCGACACACCAGGCGCAGGCTCGGCCCGGGCACGATCGCTGCCACGCGTGCTTTTTCTTTTTCCTTTTCTTTTGCATAGCATCGAGTTAGCACAGGCCGAGGAGCCGCGCATTTGGCCGCGAGCGCCGCTCGCGGGCCGAGAGGCTCAGCAACGGTCCGAAAGGCCGCGCGAGGCTTCGCGCCGGCACCGTCGCGGGGCTCCATGGGGCACCATTTTGGAGGGCGAGGGCAGGCCGGGCCCTGTCGGCCTCGTCCCCTCAGGGCAGGGCTGGCCGGGCCCTGTCGGCCTCAGGGCCCCGTTGGCCTCGTGCCCTCGTCGTTCCCTCAGGGCCCCTTGGCCTTGTCCCCTCGTAGTCCTCGTGCCCTCAGGGCTTTGTTGGCCTCGTCCTCGCGCCCTCAGGGCCCCGTCGGCCTCGTCGTCCCCTCAGGGCCCCTGGCCTCGTCCCCTCGTCGTCCTCGCGCCCTCAGGGCTCAGGGCCCGGGGCTGGGGGCGGCCGGCGGGGCGGCTGCATGGCCGGGGCGGCGGGGCTGCTCTCCGGGGGGCAGGTTCCTGCGCGGCAGGCGGCACGCGGGAAGCGGCCGCGGCGCCGCCGGCTTCATGCCAGCGGGAGAGGCCGCGGCGGCGGAGGGAGGGCAGCGCCCCGGCCCGGCGCCGCCGGGAGGCGCGGGAGGGCCCGGCGGGGGCAGCGGGATG